CTTACGCGAAGAAATCGAAGATCGGGTGGGCCGGATATGTTATGCGATATGGTGATGACCGTTGAACCAGGGCGGTTACTGAATGGATCCCTCGGGATGTCGGGAAAAACCAGGACGGCCATCGCGGCCAACGCGATATTCAGACAATTTTGCGAAAACTCTGAACGAAAGGAATGTTATGCCCCGTGTCCCTCGAGCGAGGACGACCCACTGGCTCGTGAAAGGGACAAACGGAGACGCTAATGAGGCTCGCTCGAAGTGACCGCTGCTCAACGGGACGGCAGGTGATGCAGGTGATTAAGGCCCGAAGGATAGAGGCATTGCTCTTTAAATGCGCATTAAAGCCAATTCGTTTTTTGAGTAGCCTCGAAACCCATCGCACAAATCACATACACTATATCTCGATGTGGTTGTGGTTTTCGAGCATTGGCGCATTCCATTTCTTTCAGCCACATCGGCGGAAACTTCAACTCGTGTTAGCCTCGTTTATGAGAAAACCTAATGATCGTGGATCACCATTACCGTTCGCACGAATTCTCGATTTTCGTGAGCAGGAAAAGCATGGGTCTTGTTGGTTATTTTCCCAGCAATCCGAAAAGCGCAATGCTGTTTGAGATTAAAGAGTTGTTTTGAACTGTCGCCGTTCACGTGTAAAACAAGCCAACAATTACCCATTTAATTAGCGCCATTGTTAGGATTCCGATTGAGCGCAAATGTTTTTTAGTGAAATTGTTCTCGTTTTCCTCTTGTTCTCGCTCTCAAACTTGATTTCCAGCCAGTAACGAGTTTATCGCCTCGTAGAAAAGAACTTCGATCAGTCGTTCTTTCCGGAGCTTTCATATTATATGTATATGTATGTAGACTTCTGTTGTATCGTGACTGCGATTTTCAGGATTTTCGCAATTTCTTTTTCTCGATGGGGCCCAACAGCATCAGCCGCTTGATGTTTCGTGTAATTAGTGCGAATCTTACTGGAGAGGTGTGTTTACAAATACTGTACAGTTTTCTTATACTTTGAGAATTTTTGATGGGCCACCGATTTTTCATTGCTTTTTAAATCTGTTTTGTGAAGTTATTCTTCCGGACCGTAATTTTCGTATTATATATTGGATAGGAGCAGCTCTTTCAATTTTACCCAAATGTCCCTCAAAGTGGCTCCTTCTACCCGATACCAGCTTTCTTTATGAAATTTCTTCATTTTACAAACTCCTGCAAGATTTAGCATTCAAAAACTCACGTCACTACTCATTCTTCAAAAATTTTCCTTATTATTTGGGTAAATGAACGACTGTTTCGATCCCTGACTGGAAATTGAGGGTCTTGGCCCGAAGTTCGTTCAATTTTGGGATATCCGGTTTTCAGCGATTAATGAAACTTATAGTGCAGATTAGTGCAAAGGTAACGGTATTAGGGAAAGGTGAAGAACGGCGTGTATACAGAGATTTGAGGCTTCATGGAAGCCCTAAAACTAGGGGTTGGGCGAGAATGTGACCACAAAAGTAGCATGCAATGGGTGTCACTGGCTGCTTTCATAGTCGCCGCCGGGGGGACTACTCGGCCTGCGGTATCGATCAAGATTGAGTTGTAAATAAGTGCCAAGCGCAGCCCCCGGCCGGCGCGCTCGCGCGCTCGCGGGCCGGCCGGCGGACTATGAAAGCAGCCACTGCGCACAGCTAACTACAGTGAGCCAAAAATGTTCAGTTTGTGTTCAAAGCAGCTGAGGGTCCTGGGATAGGTGGTTTTGCTCTGCCCTACATTCTTTTTTTTTGCTGATACTCCAACAGAATAGCTATTCAGAACAACATTAGTCTCGAAGAGCAGAAGTGGAATGAAAGAATAGTCTAAAATATAATAACTTACGCTGCGACGATCAGCTCACTGATTTTTCACTAAAGTTGCTTCAATGCGAACACTGGTGCCCAGCAATTAGATTGCATAGCCAGCCTAAAGGGCGATATGGCAATCTTAAGATACGATCTCTGGTCCCTTATTGTGTCCTATCCAGGACGCTTTTCAATCTTATAACCGCATGTGTGATATGAGGAGGTGCCTCGAATTCATACTGCGGGAAAATCCCAGAATTATTTTTATCGTCATTTGTACTTTTGAATATCAGGTAATAGGCACGTCGCGATTAAACTAGCTTTAGAGCAGCGATTAGATTCTTCCGCAAGTTTGAATAAACCTTTTACTATCCAACCCTTACATTCTGAACGTTCTGCTATAGTTCAAAAGAAAACGCGCATAGAACAGTGCACTTAACTGAAATCCTAAGTGAGGAAATAAAGTTTGCACAATGGATTCCCAGAAGGGAACGAATTCCGAAAGGACCTTCTGCGAGCGCTGTACACCAAAGGTGAACAACTTAAAATGTGCAGCAATTGTAAACTTAAATCTGCTTATTGCTAACTTCCATGCCTATTCGCTATCGATGTTAATAAAAATGGAGCAAATATAGGCAAAGCCTCCAAACTCATTCAACAACAGCAATGCCTTCTCCAACCCGATTTTCTCCGGAATCCGGAATTTTTTCCAGAATTCTTTCGGAAAAAAAATTCCGGAGATTCTTCCGGAATTTCTCCGGAGTTTTGAAGTTTTACTCCTCTCTTTCACCAGAATATTACCATTTCTCAATTATCTTCGCCGACGCTCTAATCATCTGGGAAAACCAGTTATAGGCGTCGTTTCTAAAAGGGTCACCAGCGTATTCATTTTTTGAGTATTTAATTATGTCGGTTTTGGCGTTTTTGTCTTATGTCGCCGATATAGGCGTTTTGAGGGGGCTATTCATCAATTCAAGGACTGCTAGCTTTATAAATTCCATATGCTCATGATCGTATTCGCTATTCCCAGTGACAGGAGAAAAGCTGAGCGCTTCAAAACTTTTTTGCACTTTAGTGAATTGCTACCTTTGGTTGTATGTGAAGCAGTGAGCAATGATTGATGACACTTCTTCACCGTATTCTTGGTCGTATGTGCATTATGCTTCAATTATCCTTTGATTTTCATAATTTTCAAAAAAGTGTGTTTGATTCTCTCATCAAAGACGAATAATCTTGCCCAATATCTCCTTATATGTATGATTTTAAGGAGCGCCATGCAGTTATGTTTCTATTTCACAGTTCGCACTGCCGCATGAACAGCTCGAGGTCTCTGGTATCTATTAGTACCTGTCACGATGGGAGTGCGTGGGTATGAGCTTCTTACATGGGCTGATAATGTTGCTCTGCCACGCGTCACTGCTCCCCTTTTGGAGCACACCCAAAGCCGTATATGCAAGAGCCTTGTGGGTGAGGGTAGTGCAGGTGATATTGTGGCATACATCCTCCTTCTTCCTCCAATGAATTTGCGAGTCCTACTTCCTCGGCGTGTGCGTGCATGTTACATTATTGAAGAACACGTTACCACCTAAACAAGTTAAGTATTGTATTAAAGAGAACTTCGATACCAACGAGTATGCGATATACATAGATTTTACCCATTAAAGTATTACTACTAAATTACTAAAGTATAAGGTTACTTAATTTATCTTCATAAACAAGTAATCGGATGTAAGACTTACGGGCAAGCTACTGCATAACCAGGGGACTTCGGCACCCGCTCGAGGAATGAAACGGCGACAGCGTCAGCGGACGTGTGCCACGTGCGGCCAGTGTGTCTTCGCGGCCCCGAGTTCCTTCGCTGATTCTTCTTGGTGCGTGCGTCCTCCCACAGTTGCAGATGACCTCAGTTGTCCGGCGGCAGCCAGCAGCTCTTCCTCTTTCCTTCTTTCTTCCCTCACCTTGGAGCTTCTTCTTGTTTGCATCACTGGCGGTGCGGTGGTACTGGTGCCTGCGTGTTGTTGTCCCACATCTAAGCGAAGCTGTATGACGACGGAAACTGCGGAGACGATGTTGCTCTAGAAGAAAAGCCGAACAAGCGATATCATTGACATGGAATGAATGGCAGAGATGCTGTGTGCACACTCCATGCTGCGGAGCCCAATGCCAGGTGGTAAACGATGCAAGCGGCGCGCAGCTTGAATGGTAGAAACGGTACTGTGCGCGCGCGGTGTAGTGACAGCTCTGGTGTAAAAGAGGTCGTTGGGTTCAAGACAGTACCGTTCTATGTCATTGTGTGAAATTCGTCTTGTCAGTACCCATTGTAAAGGTTGATTTTCAGCATACGTCGATATCAACTGTTATCGTTAGTTCGGAAGCAGCGGAGGCGAATTATATGCATACTATTTTATGACCTATGCTGTGTATGATTGTCACACGAACCCACCTTCTAGGCTACCTAGCTTGCGCATGGGCAACACTACTACTATCATAATGATGGGGTGCTTTGCATAAGGGCAGTGATAGGTGCAGACAAACATTCAAACGACAGAAAATCGCGCATTACCTTAAGTAAATGACAGTGTATCAATTTATATTATGTTGTACTATCTTATATTGCAGGATGTTGTAATACCATAGGTAGAGACTTTTGGAAAATGATAATATGGCCCAAGCTTCAAAAAACTGCCTGTTCTCGCTGCGACAGCCGATTTTAGCGGTGAAAATTTAAGTGGAAAGTCAAGTTATGCTTTCTCACATCTCAAAAAAAGCTACAGCCTTGAAAGCCAGCCAGGTTCGGGAAGCCGCTTATCTATAAATCTTGATCGGATCAAATGACTCTCATAAGTCTCTCTATGGGTTTCAACCCAAATTGCTGTAGGCGCGCAATGCTTTTAGACATGATTCTACCCCTCCCAGCAGGGGAAACACTTTGGAGTTAGATCCCATACGAGCGCAGTGAAGATGCTCTACGGGCACGTGTGAACATCTGATAAAGCTTGGTGCTTTGAACTCATCGTTTCTACTGGCTCAGTCTACGTAAAACATACATGGAGACGTCAGTGGATGAATGCAGATTCATAACCATAACCAGTTTCAAGAGGTGAGCTTTACTCGAGGGAGGTCGTCCTCTGAGCTTAGCGGGCGGGGGGGCACTAAGGCTGCATTGCGATTGCCTGCATGACTCCACCACCGTCGAGGCACACATCTACTGTTTACAGCTGTGTATTTGCTCGCGAAACTGTGGCCCCTATACTACATGTAATGCACGCCAACACATTGCAAGAAAGGGTAATTCACGAACTTGCCTCAGCAGCACTCCATCATCCTACATGTTTTTCTGATATCGCGCCAGCCGATAAACATCTGGTTCGCTTAATCGTTCAATTCTTGAAGATCAAGAGCTACGATGATTGCGAGCACCTCGGAAGGGTCTTCAGCCACGCTTCGCGTCGAAAACAGCAGAGTTTTGGCGAAAATTTGTCCATTCCAGGTGAATCGATGGAAGGCGATCGTGGATGGTTGTGGTATGTGATGTACCGTATTTAAATTGTTGATTGTGAAGGAAGTTGTTTAGCTTGAATATCGATATCAGAATAGGACATTAATCATCACTCACAACATTCAGGCCGTTTTGCAGCGACTACCGAAATGGAAGACCCTATTCGTCGTCAATCTCGGTAGTCACTGTTGGCATCTTAACTGGCTGATTTCATAGTCAGCCGGCGGACTATGAAAGTTTTTTATGACCTGAAATTTCCTCCTCACTTAGACCCCAAGTAGTGAATGCTGTCCATATTGCTGCGGATACGCGCTTCGTGCTTACCTATACCGTTCGCCGTAGGTTCATATACCTTTATTGGGTTATAGGGCAATATTTGAATGCAAAATAGTATATCACTGGCGAGGGGTCCTATTGAATTTGCAGACATCCCAAAATTCAAGGTCTTTGTTGAAATGATCATATGTGAGGTTAGAACAGGTCAGCACTGGAAAGGAGATGTACGAGCGGAATTNCTTCTTTAGCGTCAAAATAGGGCTTGAACAGCAATAAAGGAAGGAATGGATGAATGATTTTGACGTTCCTCAGGTATAAGGACAGTAACGTACCGTTAAATGTAGCGTCTTACCTAATTTANGAGGCACACATCTACTGTTTACAGCTGTGTATTTGCTCGCGAAACTGTGGCCCCTATACTACATGTAATGCACGCCAACACATTGCAAGAAAGGGTAATTCACGAACTTGCCTCAGCAGCACTCCATCATCCTACATGTTTTTCTGATATCGCGCCAGCCGATAAACATCTGGTTCGCTTAATCGTTCAATTCTTGAAGATCAAGAGCTACGATGATTGCGAGCACCTCGGAAGGGTCTTCAGCCACGCTTCGCGTCGAAAACAGCAGAGTTTTGGCGAAAATTTGTCCATTCCAGGTGAATCGATGGAAGGCGATCGTGGATGGTTGTGGTATGTGATGTACCGTATTTAAATTGTTGATTGTGAAGGAAGTTGTTTAGCTTGAATATCGATATCAGAATAGGACATTAATCATCACTCAGCCTAGTGGAAGCTCTCAATCACGCAAATTCCTCGCAACCTTCAGGCCGTTTTGCAGCGACTACCGAAATGGAAGACCCTATTCGTCGTCAATCTCGGTAGTCACTGTTGGCATCTTAACTGGCTGATTTCATAGTCAGCCGGCGTGCCAGCCGAGGTAGTGCTAAGGGGGAGGAGGGAGGCGGGTGCCCAAGCCCCTCCGAAGGGTTAAGAACAAAGAAAAACAAGACCAAAAACCATTTGCACAAGCCTCTAGTTGTTTGGTTTTTGATTTTATCTTTCTTCGTTTTCAGGCTTGGGCGCGACGTCGACCGACTGTCTGCCCCTCCTCCCCCCTGGCACTACCTCGGCTGGCACGCCGGCACGCCGGCGGACTATGAAAGTTTTTTATGACCTGAAATTTCCTCCTCACTTAGACCCCAAGTAGTGAATGCTGTCCATATTGCTGCGGATACGCGCTTCGTGCTTACCTATACCGTTCGCCGTAGGTTCATATACCTTTATTGGGTTATAGGGCAATATTTGAATGCAAAATAGTATATCACTGGCGAGGGGTCCTATTGAATTTGCAGACATCCCAAAATTCAAGGTCTTTGTTGAAATGATCATATGTGAGGTTAGAACAGGTCAGCACTGGAAAGGAGATGTACGAGCGGAATTTTGGTCGCTGCATGGTGTGTAGTTACCATTTACCATTTATTACATGCCAAACACATGTACAGCATGTAGAA